TTTTTTTTTTTCTGTTGTTACTCACCGCTGAGCATGATCGACGATAACTTGACTGCGGCCGAAAGCGACAACAACCTTTTTGATGAAGGAATAAAATTCTTGAAGAGTGAAGGAACCAACTCGTTCCACAGCGTAGAACCGGTTGTTGCAAGTGATGACGAGTGTGACGAGGATGTGCTAGAGAAGGATGATCAAGATGAACCGGGAGGGCCTAACGATGTGGAAGAAGCCTGGGAACACGACACATGCACACCCCTGGGCGAGAAATTAAAAGATGGGGGGCACAACTGTTCCCTAACGCAAACGACTGTAGATAATTCTACGCCCAGCGACAACCAGTTTAGCGAATATAAAAATATAATTCTTACGTTAAAAAAAATTAATGAGAGTGTTGACTCTACATTTGATTGTAACATTGTCAACCTGTTTGTGCAAGAACAGGGAAAGCTAAGAATTGTGAAAAAAAAAAAAAAAAAAAAAAAAAAACGAAAAGCTGCAAAAGGAGCAGAAAAAAATAAACACACTGGGAACAGGGGGAAAAAAAATAACACCGCTGCGAGAACAAGTGGAAAAAAAAAAAGAAAAAATTTTAAATGCCCTATTACCACTTGCAAGTTGTAAGGTTTGTGTAAAAAGGTGCAACACTAGGGAGGGACGAATCGGGCAACTGCCAGGTAAATACAGATCAGTGGAGGGTGTTGAGGAAGTCGCCAGAGGGGTCGTACTACCTAGGGCGCGCTGCGTGAGTCCACGACGCCATCATGATTGGAACAGTAGCCTGGAAGGGGAACAATCGGAGGAAGCCGCAGTAGAAGCAGAAGCAGTGGCTGAAGTGGCAGCCCAGCCAACACGCAACTCGCTGCGTCGAAAGGGAGAGCACAGCGAGGGAAACGAAAGGACACAAGGTTTAGACCGCCATCTTCTAGGCGCGAACCATTTTATTAGTAAACCTGCCAAGTGTAGAGGAAGCAGTCCGTCGTGCACACAAGGCTTCGACTCGATTACCTGCAGCATGACGAGCAACGCGGGGGGTAGTAGCACCGCACAAGGGGGAATGGAAGCAGTGGAGGAGGCGAACAGCGAAGTGGCCATGGACGCGGTTGACCAAGTTAGCCAACATACAGAAGGCGCAGGTGGTCGAGGCGAGGACACAACGCCCTGCAGTGAAGACGCTGACGCGCTGGATGGAGAAATCTTTTTGGCGGAAAAAAAAATGAGTGATGACGAACACGGGGAGATAAACGGGTCCGTGTGCGGAAGTGACGACGATGGGAAGGAAGTGAATAGTCCATATGGTTATCCATATGGTGATGTGAGTAGCCATGCAAATGGTCATGTGGAAAGGGGAAACATAAAGAACAGTGCTTCATGTTTACGGTCACCACCTTACCACGACATTTCGGGTAACCACTCTGTGGTGCACTCAAGTAAAAAAAGCGCAGAGGGATTCCACACGTGGAGAGGAAAACCAGTCAATGTAGAAGACGGTGCTGAACAGAGTACAGAAATGAAAACCCCATTTTGTGCACCTCCCAATTGTGTAGGTAAACGACTGGATGGGGAAGAGTTTCCATTGTTGTGTTATTATGGATGCGGGAAGGATTCTGTGCAGCCCCCGTGGAGACAAAATCAGAGGCAGAGGTTGCGGAGTGTTCAAAGCGAGAAGACGATGGAGAAGCGGATAACCATCAGTGGGAGCAGGAAAAGTGTGCCAAGTGAGTACACATGCAGGAGGACAGTTTATACGGGCACAGATATGTCCAACGTAGGGAACATGAAAATGAAAGGAGGGGTAGAAGTGATGCATCCATGTCGTGTGGAAGGAAAGGACCAAAGTGGAAATCCGCTTTACCATTTGATCAACAAGAATTATCGTGGTGGTTGTGTTACTAACGGGAGGGTGTTGCCCAAATTTAAGTCCCTTAGTAATAACCTGGAAGAGGCGCATAGTGATGGGCTCCATTTTATCAACACATGGATGAGGCAGTCGAATGGGGAATTTGGAAATGGAGTGCTCAGTGGAGGTGTATACATGTGTGAAAGTAGTGCAAGGAAGGACGAATGCTACGCGGGTAAATCACAGGGGAATGTCTTAAACCCCTGGGAGGATGCAAGAACAGGTCAAGATGTTCATCCATGTGGAGAAGCTTACACCCAAGAGGGAGAAGGAAGAATGCCTTTTTTTCCACCTTCCGCACGAATGTACAGTCGAGATGATCACCTTATCGCTAGAAGCGAGTGTGATGCGCTGGTCCCCCCGTTTAAAGGCTTAGAGGTTAATTGTAATAGTTCGCGGGACTTGTCCTGGAGGGGCAGTGGCGGGTACGGACAGCCGTACCGAGGGGGGACAAGTGGGCAGCTTCCGCTGAATGACCAACAGGTGGACGCAGGCCAAGGGGAAGTGCCCAGCAACAAGGGATGGAGCAACTTCCACGCAGAAAAGGACATTTTCTTCGAAGCAATAAAAAACATCATACGGATTATGAAGGAAATTAAAAAGATAAAAATAAATTTGAAAATCGAAAGGAACTACTCCCTAGTTATTGAAGACAAAAAAAAAAAAAATGAATTGGAAAAGCTCATCCATTATTTAATATACCAAAAGGAGGTGAGAAAAAAATTGAAGAAGCATTACTTTGATAAGATAAACAAGGGCCTGTTTACATTCCTTCTGAGGAGTAACCGTGCCAACTTTTTCTTCACAGAGGAGGAGGTTAAATTGCTAAAGAGCTGGAACGAAATAAAGTACACAAAGATGAGTAGCAGTTCGGGAGAGAACACCGAGGGAGAGGGGGATGGCGGTAGGACGTCTTTGCTTGGGAAGAGTGGTGGTTACGTGGATGGGGAATTATCAGACAGGAGAAAAATATTGCACCAGTTGAGGCATTTAAATAATGTCATTGGGCAGAAGGGTAGCGTGGTGGTGGAAGGCAAAGGGGAAGATGAAGCTTTGTGGACGGCCAATTTGGGTGACTCCCGTGGGGAAGCTTCCTGTGGTAGGGGGGGCAAACAACGGAAAAACAAAAACGTAAAGGAGTCGATTAGAAGCGGTTACGTGGCTACTACCCCGTCGTGTCCCATTTGGTACGAGTCCTACTTCATACATTGTGAAAAGAGCCAGAGAAATATATTTAACATTTTTTTATGTTTGAAAAATATTAAAAGGAAATGCATCTCGCAGAAGTTTAAAAGGAAGATAAAAAATGGGCAAATATATTTATCCAAGATTTATGATGGCAGGAAAATGTTGGGTCATGTAAAATACATTTTAGAAGAGTTGTTAAGAAGGAATGTACCCGAGATTGTGTGTTTACACATTAATGATTGTTTCGTGGATGCTACAATTTCGTTTTTCATTTCGCTACTCCTACTTCTTTTTAAAAATGTTCATACGATTAAGGTCATTCGATGTCAGATTTATTATTCTTACCTTAGCGTTTTTTTGTCTTATCAGAAAAGGAACAATTTGAAAAATATGCATTTTGTGTGTAACAGTATATTTTGGACGAGGCCTCCAGATTTTCGAAATTTGCGCGGCGAAGTGCTTTCCGCCAGACAGCAGGACAATTTGCTCTTATACTTTAACACCAATTATGTGAAGAAGCGGAAGGGGAAACGTACTTTGCGCGGGGATGTCACAGAGACGAAGCAACCATGTGGACGCGAAGATGAGAGAGAAAGTAGTTTGGAAGGTTTCTTCGAGGGGAAGGGTTCCCCCTCAAATGGTGCTGGCAACGGGGATTACAGGATTGTTGTGAAGAGGAAAAAAAAAGTTGCCCGTTTTAGCGTGGACCAGTTTTATGACTACTTCGTCTTGGGGAAGGAAGCAACTGTGGGAGGAGAGGCAATTCGGTTGAAGGAAGAAACCGTGAATGGCGACGCAAGTGTGGGGGGCGAAGTAAATGTGGGAGGAGAAGCAAGGGGCGTGGATAATGAAAGGACCTCGCTAGACAGTCCAGCGAATGCCTACAACATCCACAGCGGCTCGGGCAGCGACGAAAATACGTCAGAGGATTCTCTCAAGGAGGAACTACACGAGTGCCTGTGTACTTTTCCAAGAAAAAGAATTCAACAAGCAAATTTTTCCATGCTAAAGAAATTAAAGTTATGCTCAAATAAATTAAATGATGATGCCCTCATGTACATATGCACACTTATAAAAAAGGACAAGTTGAAGAATTTAAAAGTACTAGATTTGAGATGGAATAATTTTACCTACAGAAGCTTGTTAGCTCTGTCATTGGCATTAACAAACACAACTGTGAGTGAAGCATCAGACAAGATACACTACAAAAAACGAAAGTTGCACAAACTTCTACTCTCCGGCAATAACATCAAAAGTTCCCTCTACTCTTCATTCCTCTCAAGTTTCTGTACATGTAATTTTATTGTTGTGAAAAAATTGGACTTCTCCATGAACGTAATTGATAATGATTCTTTCCCAATCACGTTGAAATATTTCAAGCACATTTTTCAGCTACAAAAAAAGAAGGAAAAAAAAAAAATAAAAATTGGGGATGACGTCTTCATAAATTTAGATCATAATAATTTGAAAAATTCTGTTTATATAAATAAATTGGCACAGCTTTTAAACAAGTTTCCCTCCAAGCGATGCAAGTCAAATAGGGAGGTACAGACCCCTTCGCAGGAAACAAACTCAATCGGTGAAGAATGTCGACAAGGCGTGCTACTCAGTTTGCAATATAATAATATAAAAAGAGGTACCTTGAGTGAAGATCCCGGAAGGGGGTCTACGTCACGTATTAAGTTCTGACGTAGGGGATATATCCTTCATGACCAGCACACTCCATGGAGAAGGGCACACATATATATATAACCATGTGTGCAAATATGCGTTACACAGTTGTGCATACCCGCGTGCTCATCAGCAGGGGGGGGGGGGAAATAACCCCGATGAAGTAGCAACCAATATATTGTAGGACAGATCATACTGAAGTGAAGTTTTACTTTTCCGTGAGGATGATTCCTTAACAGCCCTTTTTTTTTTTCTAGCCCCCAGTAGCGGAACGCCCCCTTCGTGTGATTGGAAGGAGGTGCATTCGTCCTGCGGGGTAGGTATGTTATCTACCTGCCCGTCTACTGCCCAGATTTTTTTTTTTTTTTTTTTTTTGTGTATTAATTTGGCCGTCTAACTTCGGCACGTGTCTCCGATTTGTGATTTCTTTTTCCAGCACTACACCTTTGCCTGTTTCTGCATGGCCGCTCATCACGTATTTGTGCTGACGCTCAAGTTGCCGACGTGGTTCATGTAGACCAGCGAATGCTCAAACTCCTTTGTGTCCAAAAGACTGTCGTAGATGTTTCTCCAGTTCTCCTTGTAGTTCTCTGGGTCCTTTCCCTCCTTTTTCTTTTTTTTTCTTTTTTTTTTCCCGCGGAGCTTTTCCCTGTGAATGCTGGGGAAGAATCTTATTTTGGGGGCGATGAGTCCGAGCTGCGAGGAGGGGGTTCGGGTAACGTGGTGCGGTGTGAAGTGAAATCGGGTTATCGTTGCGGCGTGCGCGTTCTCAAAAAGCCGCACTCACGTATCGAAGCGGTGAAGCGCTTAATCGCTCCATCGTTGTTACTTACCCGCTTGAAGAGCATGGCGTTTTGGACGTAGTTAAAGTTGGGGTTGAGGCCCACCTGCAACTTCCTTTTCTTGTAGTTGTCCTTTATGGCCTGCAGCGTTTTCTGCTTGTAATCGTCTTCCCGCCACTTCTGCTTAATAATCTCGGAGATCCTCTTTCGCCTCTCCAACGTGAAGGGCTTCCTGCCACTTAGCATTTTGTCGCGAAACTCTTTTGTTTTCCACTTTTGTCTAAGTAAAATTGATTTCCTCCTTTTGGTATTTTCGTCCTGATTAAATATCCTGGTTTTTTCAATAATGCTTTTGCGATAATTTTCGTCTGTCCATTTTAATTTAATTTTGTATGATAATAATTGTTTCGTTTTTTCAGAATGCCTAAATTGATTTTTACATCTTAACAATTTTTTTCGTTCTTCTTGATCTCTCCATCTGAGTTTGGCTAGCTCGGATAGCTTTTTCCGAACCTCTTCATTTTGTATTTTTTTTTTTTTCCTCTTTTGTTGTAGCTGCGCGGGGGCAGGGGGAGGCTGGTCTTCTTCCTGCTTCGGCGAAGTGGTGACACCGTTCGCATCGTTGTCATGGTTAGCATATTTGGCGGTGTGAGTAGCCGCTTGGGGCTCGTTTAAGGGGGGCTTTACACGGTCCTTCTGTTCGTACTTTACTATTCGGGTTTCTCTCCCTGAGTTCATCGGTTCATCCTGCGGTGGATTCACTGCTGATGTTGTACTGTCGTGCTTCGGTCCATCTTTCATCGCATTATCGTTGGGCTCGTCTAGCTTCTTCTTCCCGGTTAATCTGACAACACCTACGTTGGTGTCTGCCCCAGGGGCGACGTCACCCCCTTGTGAGTGGAGCGGGGAGCACTTGGCTCTCTCGCCCTCGGAGTAGTACGCCTCTATATATTTCTTCTCTTCACCATGTTCCGTGGTGTAAGTGGGCACAGTAACAGCACAACCCTTCCTATTAGCGTTTCTTATGTGAAATGTTTTCCTGCTGGGACTGAAGACTCCGTTAAAATGTGTGGGTAGGAAAAATGGGTTTGTGATTTGCCTTTTGGGGCTAACCGCATGCGCATACTTGGACGGGATGTTATAAAGCGTCAGGGCGTAACATAAACAGGCGAAGAGGGTCGCGCTCGCCCGATGGAACATATTAGCGCTACGCTGGCATCAGCTCGTTGCTCTTCTTCCCCCCTTTCCACCATGTCGTTGCGGTAGTTGGCGGTTCAGCTGCGGTTAAACAGAGGTTACCGAAAGATGAAGCGGTCGTAAATGCCAAATCATTTCGGCCAAACTACGAACTGACGGTTCCTCGCTTCTCGCTTGCCCAAGTTTGCTTCCCCTTTATGCTGCGTTATCCATCTGCCGCTATAGTGGAGTGGGTTGTTTCCTCTTCCATTTTTTTTTCAGCCCCCCTGGAGAGATGTGCAGAAAATTTGAATACTGTTTTAATGGAGATTGGCTGAAAGGACTTACGTGTACATGGGTATGCGAATGTACAGCCATGTATGCGCATATACATAAGCGGGTTCGCTGCTATTGATTCGGACGAAGGTTAGCCCCCTATAATGCGACAACATCTGTGCACGTGTCGGAGGTGAAGAAAGGCGCTACACAATTTTGCTGCTCCACCAACTTTGCTATAGAAATGTAAAAAAAAAAAAAAATTTTATAGAACGGGAAATTTCTACATTCGGTTATTTTTTACCCCTTTTAAGAGTCACAATGATGTCATACGAAATTGCTATAAAAGGTATTCTGGTCTGCATATCATCACTTCCTCTGGATGTTGCAGTGGGCCTCCTTCGTCGACTCGACATATGTAACGGTAGACGAGGTTACACGGGCTGCTCAATACGGATTACACAACGTGGATACCATGGAAGTTTTCAAATGGTCCGCATTTTTGCAGTAGAGTGGAAGATTTAGGGTTTGTGGCATAATACTTGCACGTGGCTTGTCCCTACCTTAAGCCTGCGCCTGCCAGCGTACAAGTGCCGTGCTGCGGTGTTTAACGGTGCGAAGTTTCCGCTTATGCGCACCCCTTGTGAGCAAATCAAGGCAGCAACTGTGCAACGCGTTTAAAGAACTCAACCCGTTTAAACGGCTTTTACTTCCCTAGCTCGTTTGAGGCAACCCTATTTTGAACCGCCCAACTTTTTTCGTTGAGAAAATGGAAAGTCTCACATGTCGAGCGAGAAGAGTGCACATATAGACGTACTTTTATATGTACCCCCCGGGCATGGTTAAAATATGACTTATATTGTTCATTCATCTCAAAAAATGAGAGGAAAAAAAAAAAAAAAAAAAAAAGGTGTAAATCCGTTGCAATGGAGTTTCTAACCCGGTTGTCTTCACAACGGGTGTAATGGGTTGACCAAAAAGAGAAAAAAAAAAAAAATTTCTGATGATTTATGCGTACAGTAATGATGTAATATTTACGTGATCTTTAACAATTAAGGTGTGTTTATCATGATGGGAATATGAGTCATATATGTGTGCGTCAAGGGAAGAGGCCATGTTGTGTAAGTTCACTAAAGTACGGGGTCAAGGCATGGGACCAAGCGTGCACACGCGTAGGTCTACACACTGTGCGTCTGTGCAGCGCAACTGAACAAAGTGCCATGCACGCTTCTCAAGCGTAACATTAAAAAAGACATTAATGCAAGGTAACACTGGACAGAAATTAAAAAAACGAAAAATATTTAGACTTGCGCATGTACCAATGTAGCCAGCTAGCTGTTTGTATATATATGAGGATGTCGACGTGTGTGGTATTGTAAAAATGTGTCCACGGGCGTATGGGGCATATGCACACAACCCATAGGTAGGTACATACACACACGTGCATGTGATTGCGTAGGGAAGGGGGAGGTGGCCAAACGTCATGGCTGCAAGAAGAGTTCGCAGCACAAATACGTTACATTTTTCACCCCTAGTTTTTCTTTGGCTTCTTGGCCTGGGTGGGTGGCACTGGCACTTTGTTCATCAAGGCCTTGTGGATGTGTGGAATGACTCCACCTCCAGCAATAGTTGCCTTTATAAGTGTATCCAACTCTTCGTCACCTGTGGGGAAGAAATGGGGAGACATCATGAAATCATGTTCACGGTTTCAACGCTGCATCGATGACCATTTGATCACGCGCGCAGAGTTGTAGAACTACGTAATGAAGACACAAATAAATTTTTGACATACAACTTGGCTAGTCGCACAATGCACATTAACATGGGCAAAAAAAAAAAAAATTACCTCTAATAGCTAGCTGCAAATGTCTGGGCGTAATTCTCTTCACTTTCAAATCCTTGGTTGCATTTCCTGCCAATTCTAAAACTTCGGCAGTGAGGTACTCCAAAATGGCCGCTGCATAAACAGCTGCAGTGGATCCAACTCTTCCGTCTGAAGAAATTCTCGTTTTTAACATTCTGTGGACTCTTCCTACTGGGAATTGTAAACCTGCTCTCGATGCTCGGGACAGTGGTGCCTTCTTGGTTTTACCAGAACCTGGGATGGGGGACGGCGAGGAGTGGCGTGCGTTATGGGTCGACGCAGAGCACAACATTCCATGTGAAAGAATGCAGAGGTGTCACGAACCAAGGGGTGGGGGATAATTATTGTCCCCACTTTTCACATGCAGAGGGTGCGTTAAAAACGTTGCATATTCGGTTGGGCAAAAAAAAAATTGGGTAAACCGTATAAAAAGAACGTAAGTAACGTGTAAAGTAACATAAGCAACGTTAATGGTGCGAACGGAAGGTCTCTGATAAGCGCAACGGCATACAGTGAGTGGGCCGCCTTCAGTGCTAACTCGTTCCTAACCTGTTTTTCCCTTTCCTCCTTTACCAAGACCAAGGACTTTACCTCCAACCTTTCCTCCTACTTTACCACCAATCACTTTTCCTGGAACTTCCATATTTGATAAGTGAATAAAAAATGGAACTTAAGTTTTACGGGAGGCTGCGAATTGTTGACAAATAAATTTATGCGCGTGAAATTTCCTTAAAATTCGCGAGTTGTTGAATTGCGAGGAAAAAGTTACAATAGCAGTTTCGCAGTTTTATAATTGTATAATTATGCTTTTTTTATCTTTGCGAATGTTAGTAACAAAAAAAAAAAAAAAAAAAAAAAAAAATGTTGGCGATTTGCAAAATTTTTGGCAAAACGAAACGAACAAAGGAACGATGAGAACGAAACCCGAACGCAACGAAATAAACGAAATAAATTTGAAATAAAATAAATAATATATTAAATCGCCCGAATGCGCTTAATTGTGCCCATTGCCCGCATTGGCGCGCATTTCTGCCGGCCATTTTTTTTTTTTTTTTTCCGCATTTCGAACAAAGGCAAAGTGAACGCATGCCGAAATGGGGTAAAAAAAAAAATAAATAAATAAAATAAATTGCCCCGGCAGCAACGTTTTTACGTAATCAGCATTTGCCCCTTTTTGCGAGCATGGTGTAATATATTTATATACATATATATATACATACAAGTATTCGCAATTTGTCAAGAGGAAAATATAAACTCCTCATTTACCGCCTGATGTGAAAAAAATCAACGCAATGTAATGCTCTTTGACTCAAACATGTCATGATTTTTCTCAAAATAGGCAACCCAACAAAAATGCGTGTGAGCAAAGCGCGGACGTGTACAGAGCGTGCCATTTGCCAAGAACAAGTGAACAAAAAAGTTTAAGACATTTTTTTGTTTCGCCCCGTACGCGCGTATAAACTTTTAAAATTTAGTGACGCGTGGTACGCTCGATGGATATACGCGAAAGTTAAGGTTTTCACTCTGGCGATGATAATGCCCTAGGGGACTGGATGTGCTCCGTATCGTCGCACTCATGACGCATAAACTCCAAAGAACGGAAAAAGGCCTCAGCTGACATCTCGATAACATACCTTTTGCTTAAAATGGACGATGTAAGGTTCCCCTCGTTCTATTATTTTTTTTTTTTTCCCAAGTGACTGGAGCATAAAACGAAGCAACACATATACACACAAGCCCTAGTATGTGCGTCCAGTTGGTTTATTCTTTTTCATACCATATAGCAATGTAAAAATTCGTTTGAATGTGGGATAAAATTTTCGGCTTTGTGCTTTTCACTCCTGTTCAAAGGTATTCACCTCCCTCTTGCGCGTTTCCCTCTCTTACAGCAAAGTGAAAAAAAATTTGCATACATTGGCACATTGTATACGCACGTTCGGCGATTAGTTATAATAGCAGGTGCTTACAGGAGTGTTTATATTGTTCTTTAGATTTAATCGTTGAACAGGTTGGGAAAAACAAAAATAAAAATCATGACAGTGACTCTACCTGATTAAAAAGGAAAATATCCGCAGGAACAACTCTTCTCGTGAAATGTACCTTCTTTCCGTTTTGATGTGAAACAATGGTGAAAATTTACGAATTTTTTTTTTTTTTTTTGCAACACATTTTGTGTGTATACAGACATATCACTTCTGACATGTAGCTGTTCGAATGGCTATATCCTTTTATTCCCCCCAAAGGGGTGTTTTAAAAATGTTCCTCTGTAATCGTAATAATGTAGTGGGCTATGCTTTGGCATTCCCTGCCTGGTGGTGGGGGTTAAAATGTGAAAAGGGGGAGCATGCTTTATAACGCTCGTATAATAATAACAACCTCAGTAATAATAGCAATGAATAACAATAATAATACGTTTGATACCTCCTCTTTTAGCGCAAGCACCTTCGTGATGTACAAAGCCATGGAAAAAAAGAAACCATGCCATTCGTCCACACTAGTTGGTGTGTTTTCCTTTTTTCTTATGCGATGGAGGCGGCGAGAAAGAAAGGTGGGCCAAATTAAACTCAGCTGAACTATAAGTTAAGGACTCAAGCGTGTGCGCACCAATATACTCAGGTAGAGTAAAGCATATTTTTATAGCGCCTTCTAGTTATCTCTGTATTGATTTTTAGTAATTGTGTAGCCCCACGAAAAATTCGCATAAAAACAGGCACTCCACACTGTAACTCCTGGTCCATTTAGGTGTTTAAAAAAATAAAAATAATAATAAAACGAATAATCGAATAAACATGCATAAATGCCTGAACATTCAGGTGAAAAGGGAAAAAAAAAAATTTTTGGACAATTTTTACCTAAACGGTACATGTAAAAGATGTGCAGGGGT